TTTGATCTCGGAGTTTCCTGTCTTCTGGAACAGATTCAAAATTACAAGGTTACGAAGTTGTGCATATGTAGTCGTAAACTCAAAAATGGATCAGATGTTTAACAACAGTTTTAAAATAAAATAAAATTGCAAACATTGCATAACATGCAAGGACTGGAACCATTTATTATATGAGAGTTATGTACACGAAATATTACGGGTAAATAAACATAAATAAATATCTATTCTAGAAGTAAAACCATACTTCTAGCATACTAAAACTAGAACAATTTATTATATGAGAATTAACAATTTATTATATGGACACGAAATATTGCGGGTAAGTAAACATAAATAAAAAGTCTATTCTAGAAGTAAAAGCATACTAAAACTAGAACAATTTATTATATGAGAATTAACAATTTATTATATGGACATGAAATATTGCGGGTAAGTAAACATAAATTAAAAGTCTATTCTAGAAGTAAAAACATACTAACACTAGAACCATTTATTATATGGGAATTAACAATTTATTATATGGACACGAAATATTGCGGGTAAGTAAACATAAATAAAAAACTATTCTAGAAGTGAAAGCATACTAAAACTAGAACCATTTATTATATGGGAATTATGGACAAGAATTATTGCGGGTAAATAAACATAAATAAAAATCAATTCTAGAAGTAAAATCATACAAAGACTAAAACCATTTATTATATGAGAATTAAAAAATGAAACACATTTTTTGACATACCATTTTGGTTTATTAACGATTTTATTAACGCAGGAAACTAAACAATATTTTTTTTTAATTTTGAAATATAAGAAATAATCAAGAAAAGAATTAAAATTGTAAAACCTTCTTGTTATTCCTCTAAAAAAAGAAATCTACTTTTTATGCTTAAACATTCCAAAGGGTTTTAATTAAAACCATTTTCAACAATCCTACAAGTGTTAATCAATATAAAAATCCGATCGAATCTGTTGTTTATTATGCCACGTAGTGTAGAATTTGCATATGTCGCGTTACAAAAATATTTTGACACAAATTTAGACATAAAAAGACATAAAGATTATATCCAAAGGACAATATTTTATCTTAATATTTTTAACATTCAGTATACTTTTAATTAATTCTGCTACAAAGTTTAAGGCAAATATAGTCTTCATAACAAATGAGATTAAAAAGATCTTCGGTAAATTAAAAAGAAATTAACTTTTTCTAAAGCTTATGTTTGTCATAATCATCACATCTCTACAAGAATCGAAAGAAGAAAAAAAAACTCATAGGTGGTGCAATAAACACAAAGTTGATTAAAACTGTAAAGAAATTAAACGTGATTCGTATAAAAATTCCGAAATGTTTGATAAATGACAAGCTCAAATGAAAGAAATGCAAACGAATCAAGTACACAAGGAAATTATTTAAATACAATTTTCTAACAGAATAATCTTCAGTTAATTCTGTTAGAAAATTTTATTTAAGAAAAACAGCTCTTCGACAGTTAAAAATAAACTAAATCTTTCGTAATTGTTACTAAAACTACGAAACATCCAATAAATTCTATTTCTAGACGTTTACTTATTCATTTTTAAAAAGAATATTTCTTTTATCTTTTCTGCTAAATTTTCAAGAATTCGAAAAATGCCTCAAAAATGCTGTTATTAGCGTTTTTTTTGCATCATTCTTATTCATGCAATTTTTTATTTTAAAATGTTTCGGAAGTACATTTTTCGAAAAAATATTTTTAATTTTATAAATGTTTCGCCCAGTCGCCAACAGCTTTTAAATTTATTAAAAATAGCCAAAAGTTTTTATAAATAAACATTTTAGTAAACTTTTCCACAATTTTAAAAAAAGAACATGTATCATAAATTTAAATGTATAAAGAAAAAATTAGCAAAAATTTTAGGTTTAATTTTTTTTAATTACCTTAATATTTATCGTTGTGTAAAAATAAAATATATTTTGTTTATGTTCTTCAGATTCTCAATAAACGATGCATTTTAGAGTACGCTCTAAAAATCTTATCACCAAATGCAACATCAAAAATGTATATTATGTATATTAACGCCAAATATTTAGTAATGAAACACTAATAATTGATTCTGATTTAATACACATCACAAATGTCCCGCTCGTCTTTTACTTGATGTTTAGTGCCAACAAAACTTGTGTGAACAAAAATTGGCATAATTCACTTAAAAATCTAGTTCACCATAAAATTTTCACCAAGAACTATTAATTTAATACAGAATTTTTTGAAATGAAATTAATTTTTTAATCAACCCTATACTCACCACGCAGGGAACATTAAAACAAATTCGAATTAGGCTTAATAGAACAGAAACAGATAGAAATTAAATATAATTAAATCGTTTGATATAATTGACAGATTTATGTTAATCTTCTAACGAGAAAACATTTATCTCTATTACACAACTTAAAATATGTATATCTATGTATAGCAATAATATTGAACTTCGGCTTCTGTAGAATGCATAGTATGCGAGACGACAGCGAACTTTCACCTTCTGGTGTTCGATAGTGAAAAATCGATTGTTGTCATCTGACGATTTCTAAACATATACAAAAATGGCATTTTCGGAGGCATAAAAATGTCATGAATGCATGTGAACTTGGTGTATGCGTTATCAATTGTTTGTGCTTAGATTTAATATATACTTTAAAATGCATATAAATTTTTAGTTATCACCGGATCGTTCATTTAGAACGATCCGGTGATAACTAAAAATTGTAAAAATGAATAATTTAATAAAAGTTCTTGCTGTGATGTAAATTATATACACCACAGTTTTTACAATGTATATACTTTGAGCCATGGTGGCTCAGGGGAAAGAGCATTCGCCTTCAAATGGTGAACCGGGTTTGAATCCCAGCAATGGCTGGTCGATATATATTCCGCACCCATCTCGCAACGACTACAATGATGACATGAAATATCCTCAGTGGTTGACGGATCATGGATAAGAGTCTCCTTGCCGTCAGGTTAACCATGGGAGGTTTCCCTCTCCATGTAACACAAATGCGGGTTAGTTCCATCAAAAAGTCCTCCTCGAAGGTAAATTTCACCCAGTACTTGATCCAGGAGTTCCCTTGTCTTCTGGATTGGGTTCAAAATTACAAGACTACGGAGTTGAACATTAGTAGTCGTAAACCCAAAAATTGGGTCGGCTGTTCAACGATGGTTATAAAATAAAATTGTATAAATAAATACTTCAGTAATAGTTCTAGATATAAATTATAGAAACCACAGTTTTTACAATGTTGTTATGTTTTTACAATGTTATTATGCTTAATGTTTTTACAATGTTGTTATTATTTTACAATGCAATTTCACAGTGTGTAACACTGTAAAAACTGTGGTTTTTACAGTGTAATACAATGTATAATGTAAATCAGTTTCATTTGTGGTTTTTACAGTGTTACACAAACATTTAAGTGTTATACAATGTATGTATAGCACTGTAAATGTTAGTGCCTCATAACACCTAAAATGGTTGCAACTGTTTTACACTTAAAGAGATGTTCGGTGTTAAGTAAAAATAAAGCATACAAATTTTGGAGTTTTTCAACCCCCATTTGGGAGAAATATTTCACAACAATTTTTACAGTATGTTACTGGGAATGACCAAAAGTGGTGGTTGGTGACTTAGACTAGTTATAGTTAAGTGCCACTGCCCGGTAAGCACTTGCTCGGTATTCCCAATGGAGGCTATCGGAATCACACGAAAAGTGTTCAAGGAACTTTGCCATTTTTTGAGTAATAGAAATCTTTATTAAGAACTTAAATACAGTATTCTCGAAATCAAACTTTTAAATTTCAAAAAAAAAATCTCTTTTTTTTAAATCAGTTTTTGGCGTATAACTTTCAAGAAAATATATACAAAACTTCTAATCGGTTATTTAAAACCAGAAAAACTTTTCTTCAAGTCGGTTCGTACCTTATGTCGAATACCAAATCGAGAAACTATTGTTTGAGAAGACTGATGGTTAAACTGAAGTTATAATCCAATTAGAATTTCGAAATCGCAGCAATCGGGAGGTTAATTCGCACATGTTTTATCTTTCAGAAAAGAATAATCTTAAGGAGTGTTAAATAAAAACTAAATGCCCTCCACATGGGAAGTAAGCTAAAGTTTTTGCTAACACTTCCAATTTTGGTTTTTAAATGCTTTTTCCTTAATAATTACACTAAGAAAATCTCTCACGAGAAAACGGCAGAATTAAGGGGAAATTTTCCACTAAACCACACTTTTTATTGGTTAGTACAGCACAAAAGGATATTTAAAAATGAGCTTTGATGTTTTTGGAAACCCTTTCCAGAGTGCTAACCATTAAAGTTCTATTTAAGTTTAAATAGAACTTTTTTTTCAATTAAAAAACTGGAAATTTCATTAGAGCGTTGGATGCTACTGACCAGTATTCTATCAAAAATACCGTAAAAAAAAATACCGAGTAATAGTCCCTAAAATATTATCGAGATCAACTACTGGGTTATAATAAAAGAAATAAAAACCAACTACTGTGTTATTAAGAAGGAAATTTTTTTTTTCCAATGACCACCTGGAGAATGACCTAGGTCATACAGGTATCTGAAGGGCAGATTTGTTGACCACTCTTTCAGGGACACCCTATTAGGTGGACCAACGTTGCTCCCACATTAAGGACAGAGAGTACAGAGGATGAAGGAACATCCATGCCTTGCCCGGGATTCGAACCCAGAACCATTCTGATGCAAGGTCAGTTCCCTGACCCCTACACAGGCCGGGCGGCTTAAGAAAGAAATTAAATTCAACTATTGTGTTAAAATGAAAGAAATAAAAACTAACTGATGTGTTAAAATGAAAGAAATAAAAATCAGCTACGTGTTACAATGAAATAATTATTTTGTATAACTATTGCGTTATAATAAAATAAATAAAAATCGACAGCTGTGTTATAATGAAAGAAATATTTTTCTGAAATATTTAATTCCTATTATTTTTTTCAGTGGAAAAACTTCGAAAACGGTAAAGTTTACAGTCGAAAATTGACAAATGATAATGCCGAAGTCGACAACCATGAAGTTCCAAATAGTCCTAGAGTAGAAGAACGACTCCTTCACAGCCATCACAAGGACAAGGTAACACTCAAAAAATCCCATTCCTTTTAAATCACTTTTTTTTCCTTTAAAATTCCTCCTTTCCCTTCTGAATCCCCCTTTTCCCTTTTAAAAATGCTTACGTGATTAATTTTTTGACGTTATTTATTTGTAAGCGTTTTTCTTTTTCATTCTTTTAATGGCAATTATTAAACGCAATGTAATTATCGTTCTTTGTACAAAGTAGGTATGTAAAGTAGTTTTGTACAAAGCCCAGAAGAAGCGTGTTACGTTTGTTTCTTAATTCTATTTGTTAATTAATATGTGTGCAGCAATTTTTTATTGGAGTCTCATAAAATTGTACATTTATTAATTGTTTTTTTTAAACCTTTTTCAATGCATTCTAAACATTTATAGATTTTTACCCCCAAAATTTTCAGTCAGTTTTAGATTTTTTTAATTAAGTATTTGTAGTTGTAGTTAACTACTATTGTAATAAAGGAGCTGTAGTTAACTGCAATTGTATTAAAGTAGCTGTAGTTAACTACAATTGTATTAAAGTAGTAGTAACTACAATTGTAATAATGTAGTTGTAGTTAATTATATTTGTGATAAAGTATTGGTAGTTAACTACAACTGCAACAAAGTAGTTGTAATTAACTACAATTGTATTAAAGTAGCTGTAGTTGTAGTTAACTGCAATTGTAATAAAGTAGCTGTAGTTAACTACAATTGTATTAAAGTAGTAGTAACTACAATTGTAATAAAGTAGTTGTAGTTAATTATATTTGTGATAAAGTAGTGGTAGTTAACTACAACTGCAACAAAGTAGTTGTAGGTAACTACAATTGTAATAAAGTAGCTGCAGTTGTAGTTAATTGCAATTGCAATAAAGTAGCTGCAGTTGTAGTTAACTGCAATTGTATTAAAGTAGTAGTAACTACAATTGTAATAAAATATTTGTAGTTGCAGTTAACTATAATTGTAACAAAGTAGATGTAGTTAACTACAATTGTGATAAAGTATTTGTAGTCATAGTTAATTACAATTGTAATAAAGTAGTGGTAGTTAACTACAACTGTAACAAAGTAGTTGTAGGTAACTACAATTGTAATAAAGTAGCTGTAGTTGCAGTTAACTGCAATTGTAATAAGTAGCTGTAGTTGTAGTTAACTACAATTGTATTAAAATAGTAGTAAATACAATTGTAATAAAGTATTTGTAGTTGTAGTTAACTACAATTGTAATAAAGTATTAGTAGTTGTACTTAACTACAAAGAAAATGTAGTTTTTCCGATCACTATTCTTTAGCAACGAGACTCATTGTTATGTATTTTGTAACAGTAACAATAAAAAGCAATTCTTATTTATTTGCAGAATCGAAAGTTGAACGCGGAGCAGTCCAAACCCTCTAAGATGAAAAACACTGAAAGACATCACAAGAAAAGTGTTGAAGAAGAAATGCATCTGAGGCCCCTCAATGAGCGACACCACAAATTTCCCAACCCTGCCTTGCTGGATGGCTCTTTTGAAAACTCCAAAATCAGCAGGCACACTTTCCTTCAACAAGTCAGGCGTAAGCATTTTCATGATACTGAGTTTTCCATAAATGACTCCGCAATACGAAACATAATTCACAGATATACATGATTTGCTGCGTTCTGCTTAGGAAACGAGAGTATTTATTCTGGTTAAGTTTCACAATTAAATACAAAGTTTGTTAACTGAAGGCGCTACTGATTGGAAATACTATAAAACAATTTTTTCTGCTCGATGTCAGACCATTCCAACGTAAAGGTTGTATGTTGATTTTCTCTTTAATCTGCGTAAATTTGTAGTTTCAAAAGGTGTTTAAATTTGAAGATATTGTTTCACATTTTTTCCTAATCATAGGTTTTCATATACGTATTTATTCCACGAATTTGATTTTTTTTCCTCCTCGGTTTGTCGGATTTTAGCCGTTTTTAATATTTGAAACTACCCCGGTATCCACTAATATCGCGATTCATATTCACGCGATTTTAATATCAAGCATTGAGTTTCGTATTAACGGGATTTAAAAGCTACACATAATGAATCGCATTCACGCGATTTAAAAATCGTACATCGCGATTCATATTCACGTGATTTAAAAATCCAATATCGCCATTCGCATTCACGCGATCTAAAAATCATGCATCGCGACTGGCATTTGCATGATTTAAAAATCCTATATCGCGTAATGTATTTTCGTGTTCATGAAATCCAACATCGCAATTCACATTCACGTGATTTTTTAGATACTATAAAGGTGTGATATTCTTTATTGGTAGGTAATTTAATTCTGAATCTTAGTTCAAATAATTTAATTTAAGTATAAATAGTGTATAAATCGATATCTTCTTATCGAGTTTTTGCACATAAAACTTTCAGGGGTTTCTTTGGGTGTCACAATCACCCCTGCGCTGATGTTTTTCTTAACGTTAACGTTTTAAAAACAGAAAAACGAAAAAGAATCAGATCAAAATATTCAATACAACAAATAAACAACGCAAATAAAGAGCAGTCGTCCAAAGTAAACAAGCAACTGACATTTTCTAGCTGTTTGCGCAGGAAATTTCAATTACTCATCCGTATAGGAAATCTCTAGACAAATGCGTTGAAAATTATCACATCGACTAAATTCTATAATATTAATCACTTTAACTGCCTTACCTGGCCTTATCATTAGTAATAACTGATGATTATTAATGGTAACCAACTAATTGCATCCACCGTAACATATATATCAAAAAGTGGCAATTTCGGTTTGTCGCAGGTCTGCCATCCTTGAAACCTGTGATAAGATTGATGCTAATGTCTTCGAGGTTTTAGTAAATAGTAAAATACATCATATGTTTCAAGTCATGTCTAAACATAGTGGATATGTTTGCTACGATCGGTTAAATCCTAGAATATCCCACCACTTTGCAACTTTTTAAAATCTCGTCAAGTTGGCGATTATTACTGGGATCAGCGTTGTTTTTTGAAAACAAAACAATTTTAATTATTAAACATTTAATTACATTAAACATTTAATTAAAAAAACACATTTTAAATTATTATTTATAACACTTAGCAATTTAAATATATAACAATTTAAATTATAATTTATATGATTCCGATAGCAAGAGATCAGAAGCATAAATGGCGAAAAAATAAATACTTTTACCTCTTTTCTAACGAAATCAAATTTTCGCGTAGGTATACGTATCAAAGAACCAATCAGGTTTAAGAATTTTGGTGGTGTGGTCGGACGCTCAAAATAAACTCACCGAAATATCTTCCAGAAACCTAGTTTCGCGAGATTTCAAAAAGTTGCTTGGCGAGATTTTAAAAAAAAAATCTCCTCTGGCTGGGATATACTAGGTTCCCAGGGCTAAAGAGAATACAAGGGCTAGTTCACTCCGCTCTTAGAGCTGAAGCTACGATTTCCCTCCTCATGACGTCACTGTNAATCACAAGTGTAACTGAGTGTGCTAGAAAAATTAAGATTACGGTTCGCTTTAATTTAATTTATTGAAACATAAAATAGAGCACAAAACAGACGCATAGAAATGAACAAAAACGAATAATGATTATTAAAATGAATTAAATTTCGGGCATTAACACAACCTAATAGTTCCTGGAGACAGACTGCCAATATTCTCGCTAGATGGCGTTGCAGGCTGTTTCGTTTAGAGCAAATGCCGTGGCAAAGGGCAAACTGAATTATAATTAGATCTGTTACACAAGTGCATTTATTACAGCAGGACACTCTTTTCTTCTTTTTTTTTTACTTTTTCGGTGTTTTTCTCCTGTCCAGGTGGAGCTGTAAATGAGTCAATAGTGGTTATGGGTTTAAATATAGACTTTATGTTTGTTTGTTATTGGGTTGTTTTTTTTGCGTCCTGTTAGAGCAAGAAATCAAGTTGTCTTTATTTAGTTGGGACCTACTGTAAGTCAATAAATACAATGTTATATTTTCTCTCATATTTAAAATTTACCGTTCTAAAATCTAATTTTAGATTAACCTTTTCACGTTAACTGTCACAAATGCGTGGAAAGCAGTAAACGTCATTAATTGCGACAAAAACATAATTAGTTGGTACACAAACTAATTCTTTTTGCATTTTATTTGCCGGCGGTGTTATAATAGTTTGATTTATTAAATTCACTACTTCTCAGTCAAAAATAAAAATTGTATAGTTTCACTTTAAACTAACATTGATAAAGTGAGATTCGGAGCTATGAAAAGGGAGAAATCAAACTTATAACAGGAAGAACGATTAGACTTTTCCCTCAAAAGAGAAAAACGAACACGAGCTGTTTATTTTCTTTCAGATTTGGTAGAAGAGTGCATGGGTTATCGTATAGCAGTGTTTCCCAAACTTATGACTTCTGTGTACCCTTTCTAAATTTTTCGTAACGCTGTGTACCACTAATTAAAAAAAAATAATGTTTTTTTCTTTTACTGTAAAAAAATTGCACAAAAGTTAAAAATCACAACTGGCTGTTGACGCCACTAACTATTAACTGTTAACTCTGCAAAAAATAACCAATAGAAAAATACGTAATCGTAATTTTTATGGCTAGCTTTGTTTTTAAATAAAATATATTTCTTTAAATTTTCGTTTGTTGCGAGATATTTCGCATAGGAACGCGTGCCCCCACTAAACTGTTCCCGTACCCCTGGGGGTACGCGTACCACACTTTGGGAAACATTGTCGTATAGAGATATTATGTATTTATTTTTGTTTTAATAAATTTGTTGTGTTACTAAAAAAGATATTTAATGATCCATTTTTAGCATAAACACATCAAAATTCCTTATTGATGAGATAAACAATAATTATAGTGAAAGCTGTCAAATTAGCTATGGCCATATTTAAGCTATCGATTTTTATTTCAATTTTTTTTCTATCATGATTCTGATTTTGTACAAATGCTTTTACGAATCGTTCAGCTCAAAAGAGTTCAGTTTTTGTTTTCCTTTTCAGTGGGGAAAACAAACTAGTTTTGAATTTTTATTTCAAATATAAAACTTCTTCAACGAGGAAAGGCTTAAAAACGAAAAATATTGAATATGACAAAGATGTTGAAATTCGGTAACAAGCAAAACATAAAATATAAAGTATATCTTCTGTAACTAAGAAAGGGACATCTGTTTAAAAGTAAATGCTTTGCAGATGAAAGGAAAATCTTGTATTTTTTTTTTTAAATTGTATGTATATTCCGAAGACAACGTTTTTTTCTTCTTCCAGATTCATAAATGATAGAAGTTGAAAGGAATTAACATTTTGAAAAGAAAAAAAGAAAAAAGTTTGCATTATTATACAGACTTAAAAACGTTGGAAAAATGTTTTTGGTTTAAGACTTTTTAACTGTCGGCATCGTTGGGAAAACGACGCATAAATATTTATTTCTTTATGTGTTTAAATTTCAAAGTATATCTAATTATAATTTCATGTTATAGTTAACCTTTTTAAAAATACTGAAATAATAATAATAAAAAAATAAACAAGCGGAACATTTGTTTAAATTTTGCAAACTAAAAGAAACTAAAAAAGCAACAGTTTGGATTAAATACTAGTATATTTAAGTCAAACTTCAAACAATTGTAAACTATAAGGCAGCTTCATTTTCATTTTTTGGTATGCATGAAAAATACCACAAACATAAGTTTATTTTAAGTGCATTCCGAAACGAAGCAGAAGTATATATAAATTTTTTAAACAAGTCGCCAAAATTAATTTAATTGTTTAAAAAATGGTTGAGCATTATTTTTCACTGAAACAAAAAATGCACAGTGCGCAAAATAAACAAAGAACCGTGCATTCAAAATTTTTTCGCATACAATTATAAAATTCGGTCATCCGATGATAATTCCGTGCAAAATATAAATTTTAGTAAATATTTATTATTTTATTTAATAATAATCGAAAAGAAAATCTATTTTAAGGTATACAATCCCTTACACCATTTTAAGGTATGTAATTTTACGAGGCGAAATTCGAAATTTGAGCGAAATCGGTTGAGTAGTTTCCGAGAAATCGAATTTTAAATATACGACTTCTTTTAAAAATTCGATTTCTCAGGAGCTATTCAACCGATTTTGCTCAATGAATTTTGTCATGAAATGCGCATAAAGTAAATTTACATCAAGGGGTCCAAACTTTGGATAGCTCTCTTCACAAAACTATGGGGGTCTTATTTCCCAGATTGCGGCTACCCCTTATATTTTGGGGGTCAGAAATTCTAATCCGTTTTTAAAAAGGATATGTTTATTCGGAGAATGTGCGTTTTGTGCCTGGTTTCATAACTTAAAATATCGTCTTCATTTATTAATTAGCATATTTGAAGTCACCCTTTCGAACCATAAAGTTAAGAGTTCTTGAACGTGAGGATCATTAGTTCAAAATTTATTCAAGGTGGTCCATTTTTCTTTTCGTGCACTGTATATGCCCTATAAATTCCGACGGAAACATTTTGAACAAACACACCGTTTTCAAAACAATAAAACAGTACCAGACACTGTAACACTCCTGGACTTTCATGAGGACTAACCCGAATAAGGTATACGCACCCGAATAATAGTTTTTTCGCGTGCAGAATACGAACGGGTGACAGTTAAGGAAACTGAATCAAAAACTTTGAACCTATTGCACATGATTCAGAAGCAAAGCATTCTTTGCCCTGACCTATTATAGTCCAGTACAGATTGTGTTTATAATCTACCACGAATACCTCACTTGTCTAGATAGCAATGTTAGATGCGTAAGCAAATACCAGTCAAAAAATTGTCGTAATTTTATACATGAAAACACTACAAATTATAAACAATCAGTCTTATCTTTTCCTGTACTTCCCACACTCCTTTCCGGCAAAACCCAATCCACAAGGTCATGCTAAAAGAAATGCACTTAAAACTGTTACGTGCGGCTGTTTAGAGCATTTTTGAAGTTTAATGTTTGCTTTAAACCCTATTTTTAATGATACTGTTAAGCCCAAATTAGAATACTAGATGAAGATACAGTCCCTGCTCTAATTATTAGACGCACTGTAAGATTGTATGTAAAATCTTAATTATCAGGTAATACTATACAGCTTTATTGTTTTTATGTGACTGAAACCGGTTGGCACTTGTTTACGTTGGTGTATCAATTGGTTAAATTAACGATACATCATATAAATTTGACTATTAGATAAACTATACGATATATTATAAAAATATAGAATATGTATTACATCAGGTGTTATATTAGTATATTATAATAATTAGATCAAATATATTAGACGTACTGTAGTGTTTTAATAATGACATGTTTTGCACGAGTTTACATGCAATACTTTTATATTTAAACATACATGTAATGGGTTTTTATTCAAGAGATTTTTTATCTACTTTCTATTTGTATTTATTTTTAACGTATTGTATTACAATGTTAACCCATTAATACAGGAGTGTCAAGAAATGCAAACCGGTTTCATCCGAGTAAAAATAATACAGCTGTATAGTATCACCTGACAATTGTAATTTTACATAGAATTTTATAGTACGTCTAATGGTATGGCCAGGGACTGCAATGAGAAAAATAATGTTAAAAAGTTAGAGAAAAAACTTGAGAAAATTTACATTTTGGTACAATAATATTTAAAAGCTTATTATATTTTATCTTGTATTAAAATAATTTATATTTCGTTGTTTGTCTTAGGTAAACAGAATAGGAGAAGGCCGAGAGGTGGCAAACGCTTGAAGAGAAATAAAACTGATCGGAACGATATGAACAACAATTTGGATTTCTCGAAAAATACAAATGAAAACGAACTGAATCCGGAAGAAAAGAAACAAACGGAAAAACCTGTCACCTCTAAAACTGATTACGTTCCGTACACAATGGCCAGAAAGGAAATATTTCCCGTAAAGCAGACATCATACTGGTAAAAATGTGTAGGTTGAAATTAATTAATAACAAAAGCAAATGACAAACAAAAAAATGCGTTATATGCTAAGAAAAATAAGAATTCTTTTATATTCAATCAAGCTATAAAATTAAATAGGTTACGAAGTGCGAAAATGAAATAATAAGGGACTCTTTACGAATAGAATAATTTTCCCATCCTCCACACTTTTCAGCTTTATGTTGCCATGGTCTCGACAAATCTTGCTTTTCTTCCTAAGCCAGTACGTTTCTTATTAAATTAGAAAATACTTTCAAGGTTGAAACCAAAAATTTGGCGAAACCATGGCAACGGAGAGAGAAGTGTGGAAAGTGGGGAAATCGAGTTACCTGGCGACGTCTGTTCCATTTCTAAAGAATGCAATATGGTAACAATGTAGTAAAGACTTGGTGTTCGATTTGAAGTTGGTTAGTTTAGTGGGGATATAACTTTGCACTGCTTTTAAGATTCATTTAATAACAATTTAAATATTAGTTTTCCTTTTTTATTATATATACAAATCTGTACTAAAATAACCTGACTAAAGCTACGTAGAATTCCAGAAAGAAGGAATTTCTACGTAAAATAAAAATATTTTTTTGAAAAACTTGGCTATTATTAAGAATTTTTATTTTATAACAGTCATTGAACAACCTACCCAATTTTGGGTTTACGACTACCAATGTTCATCTCCGTAGTCTTGTCATTTTGAACCTAATCCAGAAGACAAGGGAACTCCTGGATCAAGTATTGAGAGAAATTTGCCTTCGTGGAGGAATTTTTAATGGAGCTAACCCGCATTTGCGTTTTATGGAGAAAAACTCCCACGGCTAGCCTGGAGGCAAGGGGACTTTAACCCATGATCCGTCTACCACTGAGGATATTATGCATCAGCACTGCGCTCGGTGCGAACCAGATGCGGAATTCGTATCTATCAGCCATCGCTGGGATTCGAACACGGTACACCTCATTGGAAGGCGAACGATCTATCCCCTGAGCCACCACGGCTCTCTTAGAAAGAATTTTTATTTTATTTTATAACCGTCGTTGAACAGCCGACCCAATTTCATGGGTTTACGACTACTTACGTTCAACTCCGTAGCCTTGTAATTTTGAACCAATCCAGAAGACAAGGAAACTCCTGGATCAGTACCCCCAGAGGTATTGATTTGTTGTGGGAACATGGAGGACTTTGAGACTCGACAGATTTAACGTGCATCAGTCACCATTTACTACACGGGGAGTCTTCGGCCGGCGAGGATCGAACCCATGACCTCTTGGATATGGGGCCAGCGCCCTACCGACCAGGCTATCCCGGCCCTCTTAGAAAGAATTGGCAAAAATGCTCTCGGGATTTTATTGGTATCGTCCCTCGATTGATACTAAAAAAAAGTGGGAGAGAAGTTAAATTTAAATCTCGCCACAATTTATGAGTTATCCACTTAATTAAAGTAAACACATAAGCTACACCAAGACATTTTGACCTTTCAGGAAATAATAAATTCATAATTTTCATAATTTCATTCATAATTTTTGTTCTTCAGAAATTCATAATTTTTGTTATTTCCCTGACGCCAAACTTCCAACAAAGTGTTTTCAGAATCAGAGTTTCGGTACTGAGTGTGGATAAATCCTCTAATTATAGTGGATATACGGATATTAATTATAGTGGATTAATTGCTCTAGGCAACAATTAGTGGGCTAAAGCAACTAATTGTTGACACATCTCGTAACCTACTTATGTAATTGATTTTTTCAAAATTTGCATTTTAAATGCATACAAATAAAAAAATAACCATTCTTTACTCTGAATTTTTTATAATAGAGATACTTCCAGGGCACTTATTGTAGTTAACTAAGTTTTGAAACCATGCAGATTAATACTACAAATGCTAATTAAATGAAATTAAATCAATTCAATTGTAGTATCGAAATTAAATCAATTAGTACGTGCTTAAATCAAATCTTCCCGCCTTATATAAACATGTAAATTTGTCATTATTCAACTTAATTTGCATATTCAACACGTTTTACTAATTGAGTTAAAACAGAAATAAAGCTGAACGGAATGATGTTTTAAAACAGTTATCTGTTCAGATTCTTTTTAACTATTTATATTTCAACTCATTATGATCGTTTTTCTGATATAGATCATTTGACAGCTTTTTTCTGTAAACACTGTTGTTCACCGTAAGGAGACGATTGACGGTCAATTAGTGAAAATAAGCATCGAAACTGGGGTTGGCGAGGAAAAGTTTCTTTGTGCTACCACATTCAATCGTAATTGAAATGTACTCTACAAAGGTCAATTGTTTTCTTACGGTGGATGAAAACAGAAGTAGGGGTCGTCCACAAATTATGCCACTCTTGAATGGGAGGGTTCATCAAATGTGATAGCGGCATCAAAGGTGCCACCGCACATGTTGTGGTTAAAATAAAAACATTTAAAAACAGTAATTGTTTTTCATCAAAAATGTTTCGAAGTGTGTAATTATTATTATTGTTACGTTCACAAATGGAATTAAAAATTATTTAAATGCTAAGTAAGTTTAAAAAATATGATCATATAACGTAGTATTCCTGAATACATGTATATGTTACCGTAAATTAGCGAACTCAAGAGAATGTCGACTTTCACCGATGAGTGTCAAGATTCACATAGTCGCTTTGGTGAATGTCCGAACTATTTGTTATATCCGATTTGATATTAATTTATTAGCTGATATTATTATACACATCCGATATTTTAATATCTGCTGTGGATAGATTAGGAGAAACATCAGTGTTCGGTGTACCGGTTAAATGAATACAGGACAGTGGCACCTGACCTTAAAAATACCTTGATGTAGGGCATACCGGGCAAATGTATACCGGGAAGTGGCACTTAATTTGACCTATTATATATTTCGGACATTTACCTAAACAACTAAGTGATTGTCAACATTCACCGGTGGTGGTCAACAACCGATCATTCCGAATGTATATGTAAATGTCATATTGTGTGACATGTGATAAAGGTGGTAGGGAATATGGTAAAGTGTTACACATTACGCCAAAAGAGTAAAGGTGGATCAAAAATAATGAAAAAAAGGTGACATCATTTATGGATGGCCCCTTAGACAAAATTTCCTGCACAAGAATATATTTACGTGAATATATAATTTGCAAGCTAAGACTGTAACCCATATTCATTGGGCAGCTAAATGTATAAAAATAATAAATGTACACACTTTGGTGAAGTGTACTGTTTTACTCAATGTATTGTGAAGAACTGTAGACTTAAATGTGCATTATATTACCTCTATGCATCGTAAATGTATACCTGTTACGTCATACTTATGATACGTGTCAGTTTGAGACTTTCTCTTTTTTCTTTTTTTTTAAAAAAAAGAAATTTGAAACTCAGACTTTCTTAAGAGGCGGATTCCTATAAAAAATATTGTGTATAATGAAACCTATTTTTTCAAAACTTTTAATTTAAGTGCAGTGAGCATTAAAAAAAAAAAAAAGGAGGACCATTTTGAATCACTTCAGGTCTAATGATCGGATCTTCACGTTCCATGACTCACTCTTAATGGCTCAAGGGGGTACCTCAAATATGCTAGAACCTTGGTAAGTCCTAGAGCGTTAAGATCCGATCATTAGTTCAAAAGTTATTCAAGGTGGTCATTATTATTACTATTTTGGCGCACTGTATATATAAATTTTTTAAGGTGTTTTGGTGTCAAAAATTGTTTGAACTAAGAAACCTTCATTTAAGATTCTTTTTTCTTTTATGTAATATTTTACGAACACGCCTAGTACTTTTTACATTGATTTAGTAAAAGAAAATTAGAACGTGTGATAAATATTTACTTTATGAAAATTTACTTCCTGTAGTGATATTTTCCTTTAAGGGTGTTTTGAATTTAATGTGTAAATAAAATCCGCTTTTCTGTGATACTATGTAAATGTCTGTAATTATTTGTGTCTAAATTTTGTTATAAAAGTTGCATCTGTTACCGATGCTAATATTAATGATAATAATGAATTTGTATGAAATGTTTTCCCCAATACAAATTTAAATAAATGGATATTGACCTTATGGATTTTTGTTTTATTTCATAACCGTCGTTGAACAGCCGACCCAAATTTGGGTTTACGACTACTAATGCTCTCAACTCCGTAGCCTTGTCATTTTGAACCCAATGCAGAGGACAAGGGAACACCTGGATCAAATATTGGGAGAGATTTGCCTTCGTGGAGGACTTTTTGATGGAACTATATCATATTTGCGTTATATTGAGATGAAAACCACGAAAACTTCCCACGGTTAGCCTGACTGTAAGGGAAGTCGACCCATGATCAGTCTATCAATGAGTATATTTTACGACAGCACTATGGTTGGTGCAAGATCGGTGTATCGATCAGCTGTAGCTGGGATTCGAACCAGGTTCGAATCAGAGGAAGGCGAATGCTCTATCCCCTGAGTCATCATGGCTCACCGTATGGTTTAATAATTTATGTTTAAAATTTATCAGACTTACAGTAATTTTATTCAGAACCTACATTTATAATGGATGTTCCTTAATCACCTCCTTTTATATGTAGTTTTAGAATTCTTATCAAAAATGAAGTAGATCAAAGAACTTATAGTAAGTGGTCACAAATTACTATTCAAGCGCGGAAAGAGCGCTGACGCAATTGAAATCCAGCAAACCACTAGTGAAAAAGGCGGAGCTGAGAGCATCAAAGAACATTAATTGCTAGATGAAACTTACAGGTGGTGAAGTTTGGTTGTACAGGCTATTTAACAGGTTTGGATGTTTTCAGTCTCGTCAAATTCTTCCACAATAGCGATATTTTAGATTTCTAAAATGTTTTTGCTTCTTCCCGCCTTACGTATTTAAGGGGAATAACGCAGTAAAAGTTTTTTAAAAAAACAAACTTTTTTTTTGCATTTTTTAATAGTTTATCCCTTAAAGATTAATATACCAAAATAGTGAATTTATTTTCGTAAAAATAAAAAGTAAAAATGTTCTCGAGAAACATCAAAGCTACATCAAGAGCTCCGCCTGCTGCAAAACACTGCTGGAAGAAGGCTAAAGGTTCGATTTTTTCCTCACCTCATATCTTTCATACATATATTTCATGCGTTGATCTGGATTTTTGGGTGGCTTTTCAAATCATCAAAAACAGAAACTCTTTTGTTAATCTTGCTAATATACCACAGTTTTCAGTCCCATAGTAGACCGATCAAAGGACACAGTTCCCAGTTGATTACAGAAATTCAAGCATCACTGGCAGCTGTCAGTGAGTAGATGGGTGACCGCTTTAATCAGCCTGCGAAGGGTCCTCGTTACACTATACCGTAAAGTTCTCAACTTCGATCGCAGATTTTCGAACTACCAAAGCGGATTAAAACGGTGATGCCGTGTCCTCGGACTACCTTCGGGGAGGGTCTTCCCCAGACCGTCGCCAATAGCGCAGCTCTAGTGCCACTTAAATAAACTACTAACATTATCTTATTTTTCCAATATTTGGGTCCTGCAGTGGATTGATCGTAAAGACATGGTTCCCAGTAAAACCCTGAAGTCAAGAAACACTGGCCGCGTTCACTAAGCGGGTGGGTGACCAGTTTGATCAGCCTGCGTAGAGACCGAGAGTGCATGGTATCGGTCCTGGTCAAACTGTTCAACTTTAAAATACTTGACTTCAAGCGAAGGTCGTCGGGCTATCAAAGCAGGTGATCAATCCCCTCTGCAAAGGATCAAAATTGCGATGGCATGCCTTCGGATCATCCTCAGGGATGTTTCCCAGACAGTCGCCAATATTATTTTTAACTGTACATTTATCTCTTTAGGGTGACTTAAATTACGTCATCTTTATTTTGATATTCATGAATTTTTTCCTTCTGATAAAGATATGGCACCGAAACGCGAGTAGATTTTAATAAAACCTTGTTTTTAATGAAACCCAAACAAAACTCGCTCATGGGAGTATTTTGGACTTATTTAAAACCTATTTGAGGATATTTTA